GCAGCGTGCCCCCCTCCCCTGGCTGGGCTCACCCCGGCAGGCAGGTTCCGCAGCGTCTGTCGGTCACCGCCGTCCCCGGTGTCACCAAGACCCTGTTCCTGGCCCGGCAGTGGGTGTGAGCGGAGCAGGATACGTCCCCCGGTGAGAAGGTACCGGGGGGACAAGCTCGGCACATCCCCACCGGACCCTGCGCGGAGCCGCACACCTGCATGGAGGGAAAGGAGGGTGAGCGATGGCCGAATCCTGCACCATCCCTCCGGGGTGGATGTGTCGCGGGTGGGTACGGCTTACCCCGGTGGGCTCTTCTCCGGGGGGACATCCCGGTGTGCCGTGCTCCCGGGGGGCGCAGCTCCCAGCCCCCGCGCTGGGTCCGCTCAGCACCTGCGGGAGAAGCAGAGAGCGGTGCTGAGCGCCGACGGCGCCGGCTCTCCCGCTGCTCCGGGGTCTGTGCCGGCAGCGATGTGGCTCCGGTGCGGGCAACGCGGCAGAGGTGAACCCATCACAGGCGACACAACGGATGCAAAAGTGTCACATGCACCGTGGCAGATGCAAACCCATCACAGGTGACACGATGGATGCCATCCCGTCACGTGTGCCATGGCAGATGCCATCCCGTCACAAGGGATGCAAGGGATGCAAACCCATTGCATGCACCACGGCAGATGCAAACCCATCACAGGTAACGTGACAGATGCAGCCCCATTACATGTGCCATGGCGGCTGCTAACGCACCGCATGATGGATGCAAACCCACCACGTGATGGATGCAATCCCACCGCATGCACCGCAGCCAATGCAAACCCATCGCCAGCAACGTGACGGATGGAAGCCCATCACGTGCACCACGGTGGATGCAAACTCATCATCAGCGATGCGATGGATGCAAACTCATTGCATGCACTGCAACGGATGCAAACCCATCATCACCAGCAACGTGATGGATGCAAACCCATCACGTGCGCCATGGCAGATGCCATCCCATCACACGTGATGCAAGAGATGCAAACCCATTGCATGTACCATGGCAGATGCAAACCCATCGTGTGCGCTGCAGCGGATGCAATCCCATCGCCAGTGGGACGATGGACACAAACCCATCCCACGCGCCGCTGCAGATGCAAACCCATCATCACCAGCAACATGATGGATGCAAACCCATCGCGTGCGCCACGGCGGAAGCCAACCTGTCACAAGCGATTGCAACGGATACACTCCCGTTGTATGCACCACCGCCGATGCAAACGCATCACCAGTGACATGATGGATGCAAACCCATCGCACGTACCACAGCCGATGCAAACGCACCGCAACCCTCACTCAGGCCAAGTCCCCCCCCACCCAGGGGAGCAGCCCTGGTCCCTGGGTACCCACAGAGCCCCCAACAGCATCTCGCAGACGTGGGACATGGGACAACACGGTGGCCCCGGGGGGAGCAGGGAGGGAGAAGCCACATTCCCTATCACACCCTGCCCTGGAAGAAGTTTTGAGAAGGGAGAGAAAAGGAGGAGAAAGAATTTTTTTTGGGGGGGAAAAAAATGCCCTCGACCTAAACTGAGCATCCCCTGGGGCTGCAAGTTTTGGGATGAGAAACATTTTGGGGTGCAATATCGTGGTGGTGATGCTGGGATAGGTTCGGGATAGGTTCGAGCATCAGAGGAGCCAAAAGCAGAGACAGGGAGGGATGGGAATGGGGATGGGGATGGGATGGGGATGGGATGGGAGGATGGGATGGGATGGGGATGGGATGAGGCCATACTCACCCCCAGGACAGTGACAAGCCACCAGCGCATCCCGCTCCTCTTCATCACCGGGGGAGACCTGCCCGAGGGGGAGCACCAGGGTCAACATCCAGGGAAAATCCCAGCGGGGAAGCGATTTGGGGGCCCTGTTCCCCCGCATTGGGATGCTCCAAGGCATCTGTCAAAATATCCCTGCGGCAGCGGTCCTCCGCCATCCCCCCAAAAAAGTTTTGTCAGAGGTTTTATGGGATGCCCATTATGGCATCACCTCCTTCCCTTGCAGAACCCAACTCCATCCCGAATCGGAGAGGGACCAACCCTACAACAGAGTCAGGGCCAACCGTGGAAGGAGCAGGGGAAGGAGCAGAGGATGTTAAACACCATTAAATAAAGGTTTTTCCTGCTCCGGCGGAAATCCTTATGCATCTGCCACAAGGAAATGAAGTCACTAAAAAAATAAATACATTTAAATAAATAAATAAAAAAAAAATCACACGTTTTGTGTGTTTCCCACAGGCTCATCCCCCGCTCTTCGGGCTCAGCAATTAATTGTTAAAATTAAAATAAATGCTGACAGCACAGGGGAAGGGAGGAAAAAATAAATACTAACCCAAACCCGGATCCAGGCTACGCCACCCGCATGGAAACTTCCCCGGTCGTCACGGTCCCGTGACAGCCACGCCAGAGCTTCGTTACAGCCTTTGCCTGACGAGTTTCTCCTAATTAGTGGCCGGCATCAATGGTCTGAGATGAAGTTCATTAAATTCAGGAGGGGAGATGTTGGAGAGGGGGGGGACCGGGGCAGAGACAAGTAATTATAGGACATGGGCTGGGGTATGATGGCACGGCCCAAAATGAGCATCCTCTGTGCTCCAGTTCCTCCCAGTAGCTCCCAGTAAGAGAGCACCCCACCAGGGTGCCAACATGAAGCCAACCAGCTCTTCTCCCCTCCCGGGGAGCTGCACCCCCAAACCAAGAGCCACCAAACCCCATCTTCACTAGCACTGTCCGTGTCAATCTGGGACCCCATGATTTTTGGGGGGAGCTGAGCCCAGCCTGAGCCCCACCATGTGCCACCTCTCTGCTGAGCATCCTCCCAGGGTGATGGCATCCCATGGGGACACCTCCCGGATCACCCTGGGACTCGGGATGTGCCCCTCCATCACGGATGGACGGTAAAACCAATGCAAGCACTCTACTCTGTAAGCCAGCACTAATAAAACTCGAATTTAAGCCTAAAATGAACCATTTTTAGTCCTTTGGGGTGGTGGTATTTAAGCCTAAAGGCAGCACCTTAGGGACACCCTGAGATGTTTGGGGTGCTGCTCTGCTGGGGACGGAGCCGCGATGGCCTTGGAAGGGGGTGGGCAGGTCCCATCGCTGCTGGGGAACCACAAGCCGTGGCCAGGGGATGCCACGGGCCAGCACAGCCCACGCATCCCGGGTTGCCGAAGCATCCCGGCTCGTGATTTCAAGGCAGATGGATTGAAATCCCACCAGGAAGAAGGTTGACCCCAGGGAAAGCAGATCTGAGGCCAAGCTTAAGGATGAAGGACATCCCTTAGATGACCAAGGTCTGCCACGGGGAACGTAGGAGGTACAAGGACCAGGGGGTGTCAGCTCCTGGTTGTCACCGGAACTTTGCCTGGTCACGGCCACCCCAGGACTCAGCACCCATTTTTGGGGGGCGGTTCAGGGACATCCCAGATGGGGATGGGGGATGCAGGTACAAACCCACAACCGGTGATGGTGGGCTGCCCGGGCACGGTGGACAGAAGCCCTGAAGCTTCTGGACAAAACAAAAACCCAACATTGTCGTGTGTCATCGTCCCCCTGAGCAAGAACCAGAAGAACCAAAAAAAATAACCCCACCAGTGCCAGAGCCGGCTGCTTTTGGGGGTCACCCCCACCAGCCCTGGACCCCGCTTGGTTGGTGCATCGATGCAAACACAGTGGGGAAGGCGACTTGGCACCCCCCTCT